CAATGTAACGCGTGCAAGCAACAGCACAGTCAGTTCGTAACTGAAGAAAGAGATTTGGAACGACGGCTATTAACGTTTAGCAGAAGCTGCTAATTCTGGAAATCAGAAAGTAAGTACGTATGTACTTTCCACTTTGGGGGTTCTTCAAGGATATCACTATTACGGAGCAATTAAAACCGTTGGGGGCGTTTTGCGACTTTGTTGTGAAGGGATGTTTCCCTTGTAGGGGGATACAAAAGAAGGGAAGGTCTGACACATAAATCTGCCACGTTAACAAAAGAGAAATCTTCTTGGGGCATCGGCTACAGAAAAAGTGCTCAGAGGTGTTACATTCTGAGCGGAGCTCGGTTTCTCAAAAGCAAAGAAAATTTGAGAAGCAGTTTTACGACCAATGATAATGATGATCAAAACTTTAAGATTTTCAACTTCAATTGTTATTTATAGTATTAAAACTGCTGAGTTTAAAGAACGCGTTTAATTTAAAAATTAAATCATTTTAATTTAACATTTGAACATCTATTTAATCCGTTATCTAATTTTGAGTTTTCATAACAACATTTAACTTTGTGTTATATACCTTGAAGAAACGTGTTTACTGCATTTTCTGGATGTTACAAATAAATTAATAAAGCAGCAATTATTGTTAAATTATAAGGAGTCATGTAGCATTGTCGGCATAATGTATAAGACTGCAGAGCGCTGGATATATTTTTTTTTGCGCTTTGTTTAGCAAAGACCGAATATTTGTATGGTTAAAGAGGTAGCAAAGTGAGGTTTGAGGAGAGTAAGAACTTAATGTTAGTTCTTCCCATTCTCAAACCTTATTTTCCTATTACAGAGAGGTAAAAAATAAGTTACTTCTTACCTCAGTCGCTTTGAAAAACTAATTCTCATTATTAAAGAACTTACCAGAAAATGAATGAAGAAACTGCAATGAATTTTTTAGTCCAATAAAATTATTCTTCTGTTTATAAATTCAAATTAAAGCAAGTTAAACTTCGTACAGACTAGTTTTTAACTGCGTCTGTAAACTAAAATTTCGTTTGTTAAAAAAATATTGTTACTTATTACTGCACAGCACTAAACATCATTCATTACTAATATCAAACAAACATGTAACAGATCAAAAAGTATTTTTTTTTTTTTTTTCTTTTGCAGTTTCAAAGTATAGTTATTTCTATGCTAAGAACTATCGATGAATTTAATAGAATACTTTTATAACTTGATATTTCTGATTAGTGCCTCAGAGACGGTAAGTGATTATATTGACCAATTGCCGTACGGAAGGGCTCAAGTTCGAATGCCATATAAAGCATGGATGCACATCATGCCCATCTGTTCATAGGATAAATGTCTTCGTAAAAGATTTTCTGAGTTAACCTGTAACGTACATAATATTTGTGTTTAAAAATATTAGAAAAGTATCTAAAATAATGTTTACAAAATATATTATGTAGCAATTAGAATTTAATCGTAAACACACTTTCAATATGAAACTCAAAAACGGATGAAAACACGTGCCTGTAACTTGTAAGAAAGTTCTCTGATCAATAGGCACTGTGAAACAACAACAAAAATTTGAAAATATTATTACTTAATATTTACAGCCAACATATACAAGACGAAATCCAGTGTAAGCATAACAATTAAATTTTCATATGCAGAATAGGTATTATAGGTATCATAGAGTATCATAGAGTAAGATTTCGATTCTTATAACATGACTTGCGTGTGGTACAAGGTTACTTTAATATTTTCAGATATGAGCTTCCATAAAAAGTAAGTACTGAAGATATCTGAGAAACAACATCCTCAGGAGATCTTCATATATCCCGGGACTTTACAACTTGATCAGGACATCCATAAGATGTTGATTTACGAAGTTCTCAGGATATCTGAAAATCAACATCCTGAGGAGATCTTCATATATCCCGGGACGTTGAGACTTGAATAGGATATCCTCAGGATGTTGACTTAAGAAGTCCTCAGGATATCTGAGAATCAACATCCTCAGGATATCCTAACTACTTCCTGGGAGATTGCGACTTAAATAGGATATCTTGAGGATGTCTTGTGTTATGGGGGCATATATATAATGATATACAGGGTGAATTCTGAACAAGTGGGCAGAACTTTAGGGGATGATGTATACGAGCTATACGAGGATAACTATACGAGCAGTATTCATCATAGAATGTATGGTCAGAATGTTCAAATGGTGAGAAGTTAAAGAGTAGTTTTTTACTGTCACATTTAAGGAATTAACACAAGAATCATAGGAGATACGTAATTGATGTGCATTCTCAAAGAAATTCGCAAAAAACCTTCCGCCAGCTGTAATGCCAACATCGCACCTATGGATAGGGACTAATGCACTTTGCTAAGACACCATACATTTCCAGAGTATCAGCAACAATCCTGGTGACTAGATCTACATTGGTTTTAATGGGGCACTAGTAGATTAGGCTTTACATATGGCCTCACAGGAAAAAGTCCAAACACGAGAGATCTGGTTAGCTTGGTGGCCAAGCTATGGGACCACCTCAACCAATCCATCAGCCTGGAAATTTTGTGGTTCATATAACCAGCAATCCACAGTAGAAAATGCCGTTGGGTGCGAGGACCAGCCCTTTTTATACGATTTACACAATACCATCTAATGGCTAGTCATTTGTGTTCAGTCCATGCATTCTATGCCAAATATTGCTCTTATAGCTATCTTCTTTCATCCCCTAAAGTTTTGCCCACTTGTTCAGATTCATCCTGTATAATATAATGATATAATGCTAACTAAACTAAAACCAGCTAAAGCTGCACAGAAATAACTAACAGAGTTCGCTTTTATTAAAGATCACTGACTACTATTAACAGGCAGGTTACCGAAAACGACCGAAAAGTTGTAAGATTAGACTTAAAACAACGATGTGGCCAGAAGGCGAGCATGCTTTACTAGCACTCAGTTAACACTCTTCTACTGATGTGTCTAAGACTTAAATGCTGGTTTCTACCTTATTTACATAAAGTATGATCCTGAAAACTCATTTTGATAGGGAATTGTATTTGGGAAACAAGAAAGTAAAGGAAAGCTTGTTCAAAAAAAAAACTGTTAGAAATTAAAATAACCTCCCGCAATGTTAAGTAAAGATTGTTTGCCCCAATGATTCTTTAATAATTGCATTAACTCAGATTTATTAATGGCAATGAGAATCCCCCCCCCCCCCGTCTTTACATGGTATTAAATGAAAGCAAAGAATTTTCACATGATGTACATAAGTACACTTGTTTCATTGCAAATATTTGCTGAATATTCATTCATATTTTTCAAGTAATTAATCTCTTTATGTTATACATACATATTTCATTACTTTTCAATTTATTACTTAGCTGCTTATATTTTTAATTCCAAAATCAGTTCTTTTCTCAGTGCAGATGTGGTAAAACCTGGAAATGTTTCACTTTCACATCAACAGGGGTCTGTTTTTTATAACATTTTGTTAAAAAGCAGTATATAACTCCCACATGTTCATATAGACAATCGAGTTCTTTCACTTTTTATTAATTATTCATTTAATAAAGCAGGCATTAACATTGGAATTTAATCTTTAAACTAATAAGTTATGATAGGGTTTATCTCCATGGATCCTCCATCCATCAGGAGGTTTTCTTAGCTTAGAAGATTCGTATGTTCTGCATTTAATTGTAAATTACTTTAATGTAAATAATGTAATAGCTTTGGCTATTAATGTAAATAATGTAATAGCTTTGGCTACTTTTCTTTTATTAACAAGAAGCCATTTAGTTTCTAAAGATTCATATATCACTGATTCTAGTTGAAGACTTTTAACTGTTGTACTTAATATTTTATATTTCCTTGACTTTCAGTCAGAGAATATTATAACTGTTTAATTTCGATTTATTTCTCTAAATCCAAAACAGTTTATTTACATAATAACCAAAAGGGAGATTAAAGCGCTTACCTATCTTCTTCACACTTAACATTTAGATTTTCTTGGCACACAGCCAAATAGTGGGCTTCATTCAAATTCCATTTTTGCCATTCATAGCTACGTATACAGTTTTAACATTGTTCCACCTCTTTTAATGATAAACTTAAATGCCCTTCAAGGGTCAGTTCTAGTGAACATCCTTTTTGATTAAAAGCTTCACAATTGCAGCTATGGTATTTAAATTGTAAGTTAGGATTAAAATTATATATATTTTGGCTTATATTTTTGTACATGCATGTGATTAAGACATGGTTTTATATGCATTGATACTTCTAAATTCCCCATCAGTTTTTATAACAATCTTTTTGTAAATGTGTTCTTTTTTCAGTGTGGCTGAGAATTATCTTCATGCTTAAAATTATTAATTATTCATTTAAATACATATTATATATTAGTTTTTCACAATTAAAAGAATTCATTCAAACATACGAAAGAGATGAAATGCAAGCATACCCAAATTATTGCAGATTTTTTTTGTTGGGGGGGGGAGAGGGGAGGATTAATTCCTCTTAATAAGTCAGCCCTCTTTTGGAAAATCTGTGATGACTTACATACTTTTTTTATACATATACCGTTCTACTCTATTTTTTCTTTTTATTTTTAAAATATACTATTTTAATGAATACCATTACAAATTTTAAACTTCTTTTGGGTTTATTTCAAGTTTTTAATAGTTTTAACACAGTCCTCCCCATTATTAACATTTCCTAGTTTCAATTTACAATAGTTTTACTTTTTCTTTCCTAGGAGATAATTATAAATAGAAAATTAATAATTAAAGTAACATTTTTAGTTTTAGCAGCGATAGCACTAGATTTTCATTTTCAAAGTCCATTAATGCCTTTAATTTTTGCTTCTTTACTCTTTGAATTATATATAGTATATATAAAATTTGTGCATATTAGGTGAACATAGCCTAAATACATATGATGTAACTGTATATGCTATTTATAAATATTTGTCTTTTTGTTAAATGAAGTTTTCTTTTGATAGTGGGTCCGGGAAGCTTCTTAGTGAGACCTAGCGATAATTCCCCTGGAAACTATTCGCTGTTCTTTCACATAAACAATACCATTCAACGATTTCGTATAGAAAAAAGAGGCAATAGATACATTATGGGAGGAAGGTGCTTTGACAGGTATGAATTTTTATTTCAGCAGCTGATGTAATTAGTAAAAACTCTTATGGTATTAAATGTGTAATTTGACTTGCCTTTAAAATAAAATATGCTTTTTAAAGCTTGGAAGCAGTTGTTAGCCGATATAAAGTTGAACAGATTGTTGAGGGTCATAATCTTGGAGATCCTGTGTTGAAAGTATGTGTTTAAATTAAATATTTTAAAACACTTTAATCAATTTGCTTGTAATATTTATTGATTTTCCTTTGTCTTCAGGCACCATATGAATCAAAAGAACTTAGTAAAGCTGAAGAAATTCAGCAAAAATCCCAGGATATATATGCTACACTTCGAGAAAGCCGTGAATCAGGTTTGGCAAAACGCAATAAAGGCATTCGCATGAAAGGCTATTTAAATAAGAAAAGTAAGAATGTAAAATTGTATTTTTCTTTCTAATTTTTCTCGGCATAAATTCTGAATAGCAATGAAGGCATTTTGTGGAAATGTATTCATCACCCAGACCTTTTATATATACTTTATTGTTAATTAGGCTTTTTAAGAACTGAATAGTTTTTGTGTTCATGTTGAAGTGGCTTCAATTATATCTAATATCTGTTTAAAACTACTAAAAAATCTTAATTTCTGTTAATTAAAAATTATTTTTTGCATTTAAAGCTCTACAATGAAAACGTTCTGTTAAGAATTGTTAATGAAGAAGTTTCTTTTCATAAATGATTTTTAATTTTAATTTTAAAAGTCATTGTTTTGAACCTCTACAATTCTGACAAATTTAGTGTTTTAGATTAACTGGTTCAGTTCAGAATGGCATATAGGAAAGTGTAAAAAAAAGGTAGAAATTTTTTTTTTTTTTTTTTTTTTTTTTTTGTTGTTGTTGTTGTTGTTGTTGTTGGGGGGATCTTTATGTGAGTATTGTTAAACTGATATAATTCCATGTGATGCAAATTTCTAGATGTGAAATATAATAATGATTAAGAAGAAAACAGATATTAGAATTAAGTGTATTTGTGGAAAACTTTTTTTTTTTTTTTTTTTTTTCTTTTTGGTTACTCAGAATGCTCAAAACCTGAGAGATGAGTCCAGATAAATACTTTTTAGATTTTTAGATTTGCTCCCTTTAATTGTAATTTAAAACTTCTAGTACGTAATAAATCTGAAATGTTTACTCCATAACTTTAATTCTTAGGTTGTTTTAACCCAGGTCAAGGGAATCGAAAGTGGAAAAATCTTTACTTTGTTCTTACTTCCAATGAACAACAGCTTCTGTTTTTTGATAATCCTCGGGTAAGATTTATAAATTCACACACTAAATAGTGAAATTATGTTGATCCGATATTTAAGTTTCTTTTTATTCTGATATTACGTAGTATTAGTAAATGCATAACATTTTGAAAACACTGAATATCTTCATCTTTTGAACAGTCCTTGGGTAAGATATATAAATTATCACATTGAATAAGGAGATTATGTTCATCTGATATAAAATATTTAAGTTTCTTTTTATTCTGATATTATATAGATCTATTAGTAAATGCACAATATTTGGAAACATTGAACATCTTTCAAACAGTTGGTGCTCCTTCCATGTTTCCAAATAAAAAGTGCATGCAGAAATAAATTTTAACTTTTTTAAAATTATAATGTGAGAAATTTAAAATTAGAAATTAAGAAACTATGCAGTGTGGTAGACCCCCCCCCCCGAAAAAAAACCCTACATAAATTATTGTATTAATTGAAAACGAATTAAACATATAAAAATTTTTAAGAGTTGTAGTAGTTATTAAATGCATATTTTTAAATTTTAACATACCCTTAGGTAGGTTAACCATTAAGGTAGTAATCATTAAGGTTTTAAATATTTAGATCGAAGCAAAGAGTGAAATTTAAATTACATTCTCATTAGTTCTTATTCTATGATTAATGAATTTAGTTATGATGAATTGGAAATTATATGGTTGTTATATATAATCCAAATATTCTGTTGTAAAATCAGTAATATTATTCAATAAATAAATATATAAAATAATAAATAATAAGTTTGTATTATTTTCACAGATAAAGCAAACTTCTTTTTAACCAAGCATTTTGTTTGAAAAGTTCATATAAAATTTTTATTTTCTCTTTTTTTTTCCTGCACAAAGTCCTAATTCAGATTATCAATGTGTTATGAAAATAGCTATCAAATATGAACATATATGCATAGATTTAATTTCCATTTACTCTGAAATTACTGTCTGTGTTGTAGAAAAGCTAACATTATAAATATGAAGTATATATGTTTTTGAAAACATAATTTAATCATGAAGTAATTGTTTTTGGGAAGATATGGTTTTTAAAGATTATATAAATATTTCGACTCTAAATGCATCTTTCTGTTGTTTATATAATGCATACTTCTTTCAGCGTACAAAACCGAAAGGTCTAATTGAATTAAGTTATACTTATTTATACATGGTGCATGACAGTTTATTTGAAAGGTAAGTATTTAAAGTAATAAATTTTCATCACATCTTTTTAAGAAGCATAATTTTAGTTGCATGTATTAAAGCATTGTATATTTTTATATGAATTATATTTTTCAGACCTAATTGCTTCCAGCTTGTTGAACGTGCTTTGCCTTGTATCAGCACGGTTTACTACTTATGTGCAAGTTCTCCAGATCTAACTCAGGTAACATATATTATAATCAAATATGCTATCAATCAGTTTTTAACTAAAAATATGCTAATCATTTAAGCGGGGGGAGCTATATTCATATGAAAAATTAAGTATCAGAAAAGTCTATGGAAATCCAAATAAAAAATAGCTGACTGAAAAAATAGCAAAATACTGTACAAAGTCTGTAATCCAGACGTCCATTATCCGGAATGATCTATAATCCGGACCTCAAATCCACAAACTTTTTTATTGGTATGCTTTATGCATGCGCATTTAATGTTACGCATGCGTGTTTAATGTTTACGCATGCGCGTTTAGCACAAAAAACGAAGCAACTTAAACAACTTGCATTGAAAGAAATGTTTAATAAAGTAAACAAATAAATATTAATCTTTTTTTTTTTTTTTTTTTTTTTTTTTTTTTTTTTTTTTTTTTTTGTAAATTCTGGTACTCTTTAGATCGTAATTGCTCTTTATTTCATAAATTACGGTTTCATATTTTGAATTGTATAATTTCTGCATGCCATCTTACCAGATTTAAATTGATGATCTATAATCCAGAAAAACCCTTAATCCGGAATCGCCAAAGTCACAACGAGTCCGGATTACGGACTTTGTACTATACATATTTTTAAAAAAAAATTTTATTTTTAACTATTTTTGATAAATGTATTAATTTATAAATAAATATTTTTTGCTTGGTTAGGAAATTGCATTTGTTGAGCTGCTATGAATGATGGATTTAAAATCAAAACTATCAAATAGATGAAAAATAAAGTAGCCAGTCTTATATATCATATTTATCTGAATAAAAGATACTTTGAATTTCAGATTCTTATTTTTTAAATGACTTCTGGAAGATTTCATTTTGAAATTTTTCTTCATGAATTTTCATGAGCAAGTATTTTTCACCTCCGCCCCCCATGCTTTTAGAGGAAGGAATAGAAAGATAGGAAATGATAAAGAAAGAAAATCACTGTCATTGAATGTTAGAAAATTATTCCTTCCATTCAGCATAATAATGAAGTAAATGATATCACATTTCTCAGAAGGTCTTTTGATCTGTCTTGTGATATAAGATTATAGTCAGTTAATCTGAAGTTTCGTTTGATTTAGACAGGGTTCGTAGCGGTCCTTACAAGTGCTTATAAATCCTTATATTTGAAAATAAAATATAAAGGCCATTATAGGTGCTTACTTTTTCTTTAAAACCCTTATTTTTTTTTTGTTTTTAGTGCTTATTTTTTGCTTTTAGTGCTTTTTTTAATGAATGCGCATTTTTCCCCCATATTAAAGTCGAAACTAAATAAACAACTTTTCTTCCTATATTCAACATCAGATGGTGAATCATACTCCTGGAAATTGCTTTACCCCTTTCTCTGCATTAACATAACCTATGGTACGCCCGAGAGTACAGACAGGTGCACGTCGTTCTGTTGGTCAAAGAATTGCGAAAACGGTAGAAAATTCTGGTACATTCGGTATTCTTTTCCTCCCACCCAAATACTACACACGTTTGAATTTCTATCAAGATTTTAATAATTTGCATTCTCGTTCCGCGTGGTCAGCTCATATTTGTGTTTATTATGATCATTATGCTTATATTATGAGTATATGAATGAATATTTATAATAATATAGTTGCAGTAACTGCTGAAGTATAGATAAACTTCCAAAAATGGGTGTGTTTTTATACAGAGCTTTCTAAGGAATAATATTTGGAATGGCTTAAATAAAAGGAAAGTAACCGAACAGTCAAAAAAAAAAAAATTTTTTTTTCCGATACATTATACAGTACGGAGATTGGGAGGTTCACCCCTTTCTCCGCAAAATCTGTAATATTGAAACAGCGGACTTTTTTTTTGTCACTGTCCAATCTGGATTGAATAGGACTAAAAGTTTTTGCGGTCTACCAAACTAAGACCCTAAGCGAAGATTGATTCTATTCCGGAAATTTAACGCAGTCTGTTGAAAATTAGAATCAGAAACACCCCAGATTAGTAAGTCTCTTTCTTTTCCTTTATTTAGTTCTTTATTCTCCGAATACCGGCAGCTGTGGATTCCGATTGCGTAATATCACGTGTGGAAGAACTACACCGCACGTATTGCGCAATAACGTTTGTGGTATTTTCCAGAGATAATTAATTTTGATGTTCAGTCCGAGATTTGTTTATGAACACTTAAAAAAGTTTTACTATGCTTTCTAAACAGAATATTTCTCAGTTCCGTTGGTCTATTTTTATATGATGCACGTATCAAAATGTCAAAATCATTTATTTAGCCGAGAAATCTAAAGAACGGCTACAATCTTCCCCACTCCTCTTTTTCCAGTTACTATCCGGAATATTCGGCAATTTCCGAGTATGCGGGTTAGTTAAGCTTTTACTGTTAAAAGATGACTGCATGAAGCAAAGAAATGGGCCTCTTTTTTACTTAAATTACTTTGCTTGGAATATACGAGGGTTGGAACTTCAATAGTGGCAACACAGCTGAAAAAACGCTACGCAACAAAACCAAAGAATATCGCGTATACCACACGTAAATTACATACCTTCCTTACGTCTCAGCAAAAAGACTCGTCCTGCCTACGTCACGCGCATGCGGAGTGACGCGAAGAACGGATCCTTGTATTAGCTTGCGGTCTAAAGTATGTGTTGTCAGGATGTTTTCAAAACAAGAACAATGTTGTTGGATAAAAATTGAAAGTGCCAGAGGTCGTACAGCACAACAGTGTCATCAAGGGCTCCAAGAGGCTTGCGAGGAATCTGCATTGCCTTACAAAATCGTAGCAAGATGGGTGAAAGCATTCAATGAAGGACGCCAAAACGTGGCAGACATGCTGCGGCCAGGTCGTCCTAATGTCAGCGATGCAGACATGCAAGCTGTTGTCGCTTTAATGGACAGTGATCGCCGCCAAATGATTCGTCAGCTGGCCGGACAAACAGGATTAGTGCATACGACTATGCTGCAGATTCTGAACGAACGCCTGTCCATGAGAAAAATTGCTTCACGATGGGTTCCACATCAATTGACGGAAATGCAGAAATGGCTACAATACGATGCTGCCCGAATCCACTAGGAGCGCGAAGGAGATGCTTTTTTACACCGTATCATTACGTTGGATGAGACTTGGGCCCGATCATACCAGCCAGAACTGAAACGCTAATCAAACGAATGGCGTCATCACGGGTCACCACGACGTTCGAAATTTCGTCAGAACACCAGCAATGTGAAAGTTATGGTGATTCTCGTGTACGACTGTGATGGTGTCATCCTAACGCATACCGTTCCCCCACAGCAGACCGTCACTGCGCAGTATTACTGCTCATTTTTGGAGCACAATCTCCGACCAGCTTTGAGAAAAAAACGGCGACACTTTCTGCAGAGCTCTCCTCTCATTTTGCATGACAATGCGGGCCGCATGCAGCGCAAGCTGTGACTGATTTGTTCAAGTGATGGGGCTGGGAAGTGCTTTACCATCCACCATACTCCCCAGATCTAAGCCCTTGTGACTATGACTTAATTCCTAAGATGAAGGAACCACTTTGTGGCACTCGCTTCCAAACTGTTCCTGAGCTTCTTGCGGCAGTAGACCGGTCCATTCAAACTATCAACAAAACAGGTGCTGCTACAGGTATTCTGCGACACATCGTTGGAAACGGGTTGTACACAATGCTGGCGACTATGTTGAAGGACTGTAAAACATGGTGACATGAATCACTTTTGTATTATTTGTAAATAAATAGTTGCCACTATTAAAGTTCCAACCAAGTTATGTTGAGGGAAAACTGTTATGCAATGAAAATTTAGAAAATGTTCAGAATTTTAATTTAAGTTAAATTATTTAAATATTAATATGAGTGGAAAAATAAACTGTACTTATTATTAGGTGCCAAACGAATACAATTAATATGGCTTTTTACTATTTATTTTCTATATTTTGAACTGAAATTTCAATGCTCATTCTCTTAATAAATATTGCATTGCTCATATTTTAAATTACAAGTCTAATTTTTTCTTTTAAGGTTATGCAGTTGTATATAATGTAATTAGGCAGGTGCTTATTTTTTCCTTAAAATGTGCTTGAAAAGTGCTTATAGGTGCTTATTTTTTTAACTAAAATGTGGCTACAAACCCTGTTAGAAATCTGATCTTATTATCTCTGAAAATGAAGGATTGAATCGTTTAACTTAGAAAATCTCTCATTGTTAGCGACCACATGAAGCTAAAAATTTTAATTATTTCTGAAATATGGTAAACTTCAGTAAATTAGGTTAAACGTTTAAAAATAATATATATCATACGAAAATTACTTTTCAATCTATCTGATTCTGTAAAGATTAAAATTTATGGTGATTTGTTTAATCATTAAGAAAATTTATGTGAAAAAATTTAGTATTAAATATACATCTATACTGATGTTTGGAGAAATCAATGTGTAAAATTCAGGTGTTTTTCCAAATATGAAAAGTAAGTACATACACTGTGTGAAAAAAAAAAAAAAAAAAGAGAGAGAGAGAGAGAGAGACTAGGTGTGTGTAGGTTGAAAAAAGAGTGGATTTGGCAACAACTGTTTTGGTGACATCATTCCCCACACCTCCTCTAACCATGCGGACAGTTTCGACTTAACTGATCACACCAGTTGGGAGTACTGCATCATTGAGTTAACATGTGCAACTGTATTCTGCCGGAAAAAATATTTAATGTAAAAAAGAAACAGCGAATCAACATCAAGTGAATCTTAAGAAATCAGCCACACAAAGATTTCAAATGTTAACTGAGGCTTATGGAGATGAAATTCTGTCTCGTGCACATTGTGTGTGAATGGCAAATTTGCTTTTCAAGGGAAAAAGACAAAGCATGCATATTAAAATTCAAGGCAGTGTTAATTGTCTTCATCAACATTAATGGAATTATAATCATTGAATGGGTTCCTAGTGGTCAGACTATTAATCAACACTACTACACTGAAGTACTAAAAAGACTTCATGAAAATATTAGGGAAAAAGTCAAC